GACAAAAACTATCACCAAATTAAAAAAATTCCATAAATCATCTAAATAAATTAAACCAACTGTAAATAAAATATGTTGCAAATATCTTTAACGGCCTGTGTATCAACCATTGGCTAAATTAAAGTGCTGCTGAAGTCGGTTGTGCAAGATTTTGTTATATGTTTTTATTAATAGTATGATATATCATACTCTGAGACAAAATAAATTATGGCCTAGAAAATCACAATGCTGAATATCTCACCTTGATGATGATGACAGCAACAACATCTGAGTCTGACCTTAAATTTATTTCTCTGAATAAACTGATTAGTTGAATTGTATATTGAAAAATGGCTTTGTAATTCAAATAAACACAATAATCAGAATAAGAATAATATTCTCTTGCAAGAAATTAGCGTACATTGAAGTAAAAAATAATATTAATTCACAAGGGAATTAGGTCGAAAGGTGAATGATGTAAGGTGTGTGTTTTTTAGTCAAAAACATAATCATTCTGTTACTAATATCTTAAAGTGAACAAGAAACCAGTGAATAAAATATTGAAGAATAACTGTGGTTTCCTCTATTTGAAAATTGTCAAAAGAAATGATTCAAAGTCATTCGAAGATTTATCAACCAAATGTTTTTGTGCTAAAAATGAGTGTGTTAATAGCCTGTGGACATTTGTCAGCTGAAAATGCTCATTAATGCATAATGGAAATACTTTGATCCTCAGTACTAATCACAAAATACAATACAGCTTTGTTATTGATCCTTTTTATCTAAACTTACCGTTACTAGTTAATGACTTTTAGAAATATCAAATGCCTAGCATTTTTACTCTGGAGTTATCCTGAAGTAGCATTTAATAGACTTTCATTATTAGAACTAGTTTATGAGATAAAGGGAACTGTTTATGATTATTTTTATTGGATAATAACTTTATTTATAATTCACCTGGTCATTTGACATAGATTAGGTTTCAGTTCTAAATAATCATCAAACTTCATCGGTTGGATGATACATTGTGACCAACACTGTTTGAGGTAAAACCCTATATTTCGACTTCCGTTTACAAATGTTATTTACATAAAATCGTCATGACAAATCGTATACTTATAAACAAGGTTTCACAGGTTATAACAAAGCTTTTGCCACAAAATCCTATCCTCAGAAAACCAGTTACAACTATTTCTCAAGCGATATACTTTATTAAAATCATTTTATTTTATACAAAGTTATAAGCTGTTATTTGCACATACTTTTTAAAAAATAGTTGAGCATTCGAGACAAGAAAGATCAGATTGATTGAATCTAGTTTAATTTCTTTCGACCAATTAATGTTGAATGCATGCATTACACGGTGAAAATCTTTTCATTTAAATATTTCATTTTTATTCGCTTATGGTAACTGTACGGTCATTTATTTTCTTTTATTGTTTGATCAGGCTGTTACTCTACAAGTTTTTGGGATTAATATCTGATGAAAAGCCATTAATAACTTTTGCATAGGTAAAACGAGTTTTACAGGAAAAAATGACGTTCATTCATAGTTTAGCTGACTCACAGATTCAGTTGTACTTAGAACTATCAGTTCATTGGATGAACCGATTCACAACAATAACCTACAATAAAATGCAAGTTATAAACTAAAACAGATCAGATTTAGAGCTTTTTTATCGGTTTCAATAATCACTCAGTTAGATTCGCATCAAAAGTTTAACAGATACAGTTGGATTTTTCGGGTAACTTATTGTATTATGTTGTAATATACTGACTGAAAAGTCGAACAAATGTAAGTTTAAACAATTTTTAAAAAACTACTCTTTTTAAAAATTTCACACCTTTTTTTATTTAAATAAGTTTCAATCCTTTCAGTATCGTATATGTAGGTCTTATAAACATTAAAAGGAAAAGCGCCATTCTTTTCTATCTATCTAAAATAGAGAAATGTAGATTAAAAGGAAGATTTTATGAAAATGATGCTTCTTTTACTGCTTTTTTTTCTGTCTTATTAAATGTGGAACTTTTAGGTATAAAACTTTTTCGGTTTAAGCAGCTAATTTTACTCTCACACAATGATGATATGGTGCTGTAGGTGTTGAAAAATTCATCTAAGTTAGAAATTATTTCACTGATACCTACATACACTCAAACATACGTAAACATGGATATGCGTATGCGAAATTCAATCTTTTCGTTACCTATTTTTGGTGCGAGGTAATTTTTAGTCAAATAACAATCTGTCATCACAGTCTGTTTCACACTCTTTCATAGTATGCTTTTATTTTATTTTCACTACAAATTTGTCATCAATTAAGCAAATAATTGAAGAAAAAGGTATTAGGGCAGACATAGTCGAATTTTACAATTATTTGAAAGAATAAAATGTCAATTCATTATTCATACTATAAATTTGTTCACTCAAATCGAGAGCAGAAAACGATGACGATCATTTGTTTCATTATTATAGAGCAAAAAAGAAATTTATTACGTGTTTTCTTCATATGATATTATTATCATAGTTGAATATCTAGAAATAATTTTCCATAAAGATCAATGAAACTACAAAATGCTTACTATAATTTTGAATAAAGCATCTTCCTCTGTTGACTTTATGGCGCTTAATTAGATTTAAACAAAAGTATCATTCGATTGACTAACATGGTTTGACTGTTTATTAGACACTTCATATATATATATACAACCATTGATTAGGTTCTAAATGATCTATCAGGTTACACCTTATGTTTTTTATGCAGTCTCATAGGTCTGATAATGCCGAATCCATTGAGTTCATTTTTTGAACAGATAATTCAGCAAACTTTCTACTGATCTGAAAATAAAATGAAATAATTCGTAAATTGTAAATTTGTTAAAATATACGATTCCTTTCTTTTTTGTTTGATCACCTAATTTCTGATGGCTAAAATGAAGTGAAAGGGTGTTTATATAAATATTTATAGCGTAAATAAAGCGAGAGTTAGGTGGAAACACACAGAAATTACCTAATTTCATACAACTTGATGTTCATGCTCTGGACACAATTACCTAATTAATCAATTAAATATATGTAGTTTGAATGGAGTTACTTCAGTTGTACTGAATTTGTCACTGTTGTTTTTCTCCTCGTGTTGAGCCGATTGATTGTATGAAGCAAAAATACTGAAGCTTACTTATCACCACTTAATTATTTTTCATTTATTTTTTTCTCAAGGGAAATGAAAAGAAAAATTGCATTACCACTTATCACTGTTTGTTATTTCATTTTTTCTTTAATAAATGTTGTCTTTATATTATTCTCTTAATATTCTTCCTTTTTTTAATCTATACAAAGAACCTACGCACCGAAGAGCATATAAGTGTACACACTTACCCATTATCCACCAGAATACTTACCATAATCACGACTACCAAACTAATTACTAAATCGATGTATTCAAATCTATATATTAGTGATACCAAATATCAGAAACAAATCTGTCCACAGAGTTACTTTTCACACCTCGAATAGGTCTGTTTTCTTTTCAGCGTATTAGAATAACAAATAAAAATAAATTAGCTAAGAGAAGAAAAAGTGACTCACTTTGTCAACGAACACACAGTTTTTACTGAAAGAAATTATTACTCTTACATTGTAAGTATTATAACACAAAGAATTTTGCATCTATAGAGAAATGGAAATGAAAAGAGCAAAAAAAAAGAGAAATGAACAGAAAATAATTCATTGATTCAAATTATCAAATAATAAAACTGACTGACTTTTTATTTAAAAAAGATGAAAAAAAGAAGCATATTTTTTCTGTTCTTAAAAAATAATGTGAAAAACAAGCATCGTTACACTTAAACTATTCAACAATGAAATTGAATCAAAAATAGATAAGTTGATGAATAGGATGTTTGTGTGAAAAGGAATGTAGGTAAATTTACCTCAGAGCAAGTGTTTTTTTTATTGTACCAACTTCAGCTTGAATTATTTATAACTTTCAATTCACAATGACCAAGAAAATTATCTAACATACTCTGCTGAAATCAGAACACATCTCTAAGCAGAGAAATGAATAATGATAAATAAGCATGCAAGATCAAGCAAATAAATTCTTTTTTTCTGTTCACTTACACTGAACAATGACTACAAAACAATGATACGCATATTGTAAGAATGAAATTGAATTGGAATAACAAATTTTAAGAGAGAAGATTAACTATCATCCTATTGTAATAGAGCTGATTTGGGAAAAGAATGTAATACAAAACGTTTGTTTTCTTTGTATTATTATGAACAAAAAACAGCACACCTAATTTATGTATGTTCATTATTCATTAAGTTATCTAAAGGAGTTAGAATGAGTTACACCCTTGAGTCAAACTGCATAAAACCAGAGCCTACTGTTTCTTGCCAACCACCTACGATCACATAATTGCGAAACATAGTGCGTACGATGTCAAATCATTTAGATTAGTGGTCACATTACAATTAGTTTGAAAGAATTTGATTAGCCCTGAAATGACTGGATAAACATGACAATGGTTACTACAGATTTAAAGAAAGTCTAATTATATATATAATTTGCCATTGGATTTTTCAAACGAGTACATACTTTTTGGAGATATAACAAATTATTTCCCTCTCAGAAATCGACATCGGCTGATGAACTAGTGGAAGCCATAGAGCGTGATATACTGTCACTGAATATGACCAAATAATCTTTTAAACTAGTTTTCCATAACGTTTGAAGAATAATTTTTTTCAAAAAAAAATTAGAAATGCACTTCTGAGGCACTGGAAATTCATCAACTGGAGCGAATTCCCTACAATTTCAATAATGTAGAATTATCTCTTGATATGAGTGTAGAGATGTATGGAGACTATTCAATTTAAAGTTACTTATCATCCATGGATTAACATCACCTGGTGAATAGTGAAAATTTAATTGTTTAAATTTCATTTAAGTGCAACTAACTTTGTTCTTCCATAGTAGATGTCATTTTATTCATATTGGTGTTGATCTTCATTTTAGCTCATTCAGTCAAATCTCAGCTGTCGAAATCAGAAACCGGTAAGTCATGAAAATGGTATTTGAAAGATATGATGCTCAAAATAATAAACTAATTTGGATGTACATCACGAAATAAAATATTTTACTTTGTACAATCATTTGACTAATTTATGCATGTAGTAGAGTTGTATGGTCGGACTCGGTCAAACACTCTTTGAACATCTGTGTTAAGCAACAGTGGTTCTAATTTTTCAGCCGAATATGATGATCATTAGCCGAGGTGGGTAGTGGCTAGCACTAGAATCTAGGATGCTCATTTCTTCCTATATTGGACTCGTCGGCTGAATGTACCTACAGTTTATAGTTGATTTTCACTCTGGGACTCTAACCTAGTATTTCGTGGTTTAAATGCATCTTCCTCATATATCAGGCAATCAGGTGAAACAATTTGAAATTGAATAATTCGATGGTAAAATTGACAAAGATGGAGTCACCAAAAAGGCTTACTTTCTCATTTTAGCTAAAACTAAATAATAATTAGAAGCATTAATTCTCCTTCACTATTATGCAAGACTTTAATCTGTGTGTTCATGTGGTAGAGACATTGGCATTAACTTAGATGTCTTGATTACATTTTAGGTGTGAAACCATCATTTATCATGATATTTTATCATCTAGAGAAAGAGTAAAATAAAAGAGTTACAGGTAACCCATACACTGAGCTGTATAAAGATGCACAAATTTCCTTCCTGAAGTCCTGATAAATTAGAAGCTAGATCCTGGGGAAGCTAATTGATTTGATCCCAATATTTCTTTTGGTTTTGAACACTCACTTACTATATACCTGATCTTTTCAGTTCTATATATGTTCTTAGTATAAAATATTTAGTTTCCATTTCATTTTCATTTTCCCTAAGTTTGATAATTTGTCGGCGCAAATAAATGCATTTTTATAACTAGTTGTGGAAATACACTGCTTGAAGTTATACTTAAAGGGAGATGAATTGTCACTTTTCAAGTGATAACATAATCATTCAGTACTTCAGAAACAAATATGAACTTGCATTGTTAGTTTAGAAGGCAAGATTGAATGAAGAATGACAAGATAAATATCCTTTCACTCTCTTTTGTTCGTGCGAATCTAAGTTACTTAAAATGAATTTGAGTAGTATAAAATACAAAACTAAATCCCAGCTAAGTTTGGGTGATTTTTTTTTGCCAAATTTATTCTGAGCATCTATTTAGAATACAGAATCCATTCAAAAGGACTTACGCTAATAAGGATAATGATCGAAATGTCTCATTCTAACAAGGGTGATCAGTGAAAGGGAGAATAACATTTTTAATAGTATGGGTTGTGTTTGCTTCACCTTATGACTAAGCCAATGAAGAGTCTACTTTCAACAAATATAATAATTTTTAAAATTTGGCTACAAACTGTCATTGTTGTAAATCCAATCATTTTGTGTTATGTTGTGACTGCATCTAATGTTAAAAACTGTCATCATGGAGTGGCAGTTTATCGAGGACAATTATATGCAAAAGTTATATTTAAAGTTATATTTTATATGGCGCGAAACTGTGATAGAAAATGAAATTCATCAAGTTAAAACAGCCAGATACAAATTTATGCAATAAATTTTTTTGGTAAATCAACTAATGAAAAAGTATTGAATGGAAAATCTATTTAATATTTCACTCATTAGGTTATATAGACTTTAAGTGACGACGGTAAATGAGTACAATTATGAGCCTAAGAATTCGAGGTATGCTGCAGCCTAGATATTTTAAACACAGTAAGAAGCTTATGTTCGTATCTATTAGAGAAAAAGACTGGAATTATCTTTACATCGGTCGTACGACGCTAGTCGTTACCCTTTTTTTGATGACTAAACATTTGTTAAATTCAGAGACGCTGTATACGCATCATCAACAATTATTTGGAAAGGCTTTTAAAATCACGGCTTATAGATTCAGTTGGTTTCACCTTTTAGCGGACTGAAAATATGATAGATAAGTTAAAATTTCTATTCGTTTCAAATCCCATGTTAACTGTATTTGAATTGCTTTAGTTTTGTTTTTTTTTCATCCAGAAAATTTCAAGAATTTCAATTTATCTAACAGAATTTCCAAATAGGTACTACAATACCTGAACCATTTGTTGATCACGTCAATAGAATATTTTCGTTTCTCATGATAATATTCTTGAAAAGGATCTTCAATTAAACATATAAGACCTTCAGAAATTCTTACTCTAATGAAATCACACGCAAATCTGTTTGAAAATCTATAAAATTATTCATCTAATCACTCATTAACAGACCGCACACATATCTAACTTGACACATGGTCCTTTAGTTATTAATCATAAAAGTCTCATCCTAACTTATATACATTTGACAAACTGTTCTAATTGATAAATTTCCTTCAAACTGATAACTTTTTTAGAAGAGTTTGTTTCAGATCAAATGATTTTAATGAATTTTATTAGTTCCTGAAGACAAAATATGATAAGGCGTTCTTTGATAAGCTAATAAAGTTAATGGATGAAAACATTCTATTAACGCGACCTGGCTAAATTATAGGTATATTTTATTCACAAATATGTAAGATTTTGTTTACAACATAATGAAAATTCTGCCAGATAATGTTATTCTGAAAACCAAAACAAAACTACAATAGTGTTTACTCAGTAAAATACATTTCCGTTATCATTGAAACAATTGTTTATTTTTGAATTTAAATTCAAAGTTGTTTATCAAAATGATCTCCTTCTTTATTTAAAAACAATCTACCTTAGATACCAATTGTCCTCCATGTGAGCGAAGTAAGAAAAGAATAAGATTTAGGAAGTTTTGTCGTTGTGAGGCTGGTAAGTTCAACTGTTGTGTTTATTATTATTATTATTACTGTTATTATTACTCTCTTCTTATTTTCAAGTGCATATTTACCATAATATTTATTCTTTACTAGATAACAATTTTAACTTCAGTTGCACTAACATGACATAAATTAACATAATTTTTAAAAAAATTTCACCTTGAACACAAGATGATCTTATGATTTGTTGGTCTCCAGAAGCAACGAAAGTAAATTACTTTTCTCTGATAAAATTATTGATTAAACAAAATTTTTTTACAGAAAATCGGAGTACAAGTTACTGTATTTGGAAGAAACAGCAAATTTAAGACATAATGGTTGTGCAACCATTAAACTGTTTAATGATTACGTTAAATTGTGAATCATTATATACAAATTCAAAATTAGCGTTGTAAATTTCAGTCACCTTTCAATTTGGTCAAAGTTTTCCTTTCTTTTCTCTAAGGTTATTAACACTTTTAAGGGACAGATTGATCGGAAACCATGATGTTTCATTTTAATTTAGAAGACCTGAACCTCTGAATCTAGAAAGGCAGTGAAAGCTTCATGATATCGTGGAAGGTAAAACCTACGAATTCCACCGCTTTAGTTAAAAAAATTTCCTCATCATTTTATATCTATAAAAATGACTAAAAGGTTAAAAAATCAATCTTTAAATCCATTAAATTTTTTCTTCCAGTCCACATTCCATATATATATATATATATTCTAAGACTGAAGTGATATATTCTCTAGCTATTCCTCACTAGATTGCTACGTGAACGTTGTGAAATTATAATGTAGAATTCCAGTAATTTTCATAATGTTACATTACTGGCCTAAAAGCCGGTTGAGATAACAAACTTAATCGGCTTTAGTTTGAACATAATAAGTACCTTCAGACATCTTTTAACCTTAATCGAAGATGCTAATTGTTAAAGCTACTTTCCATCTGGGAATCTCATTCAAACCAATTGAATGTTTCTGCTTGAATCTCTTACTAAATATAACAAAATATTTAAGTGAAAACATTTATTGATCAGACCACTGTTTTAACTTGTGCTTTCATCTCTGACTGTTGGCTTTTTGAAAATGATACTTACACTTTGTTCAGCTTTTTCATTCTTTCTAGGTTATTTACTCAATAAATTATAAATTGAAGAAAACCTTATGTCCATCATTGTGCAACGGAAATAGTTGACTTAATTATGAATTTAAACAGCATGAAAGAACTTCATTAAAGCCGAACTTTCAAAAAATCAAAAGTTGTCACCAAACGGTCTTCAATTTCACAAATTTAATTAAGACTTTGCGAAAATTTTTATTCGTTCATTCTTGATACAAAAGGCTACAATTGACCTATTCCCATAATTCTTTAAAATACGAAATAACACATAAAAGGCTGAAGAAAAATACCACTAAAAAATAGACTGATAAAATTTCTTTGACAGTATACTAAACAATCATAATCCTCATTCTGTAAACTATTTCTATTCTCAATATAATATAATACTAATAATAAGCATATGATAACAGTAAATAGAATATATTTTGCATTGTAATTACATATGTATTTGACAATGACAAAGAATTTGATAACAGAGGTATAAGTGGCTACTACAGTAGGTCAACTTAAAGAGTGGTACACATAAATGTGAATGAGTCAACTTAGCGATCTGCTTAACAACCAGTGTATATATATATATATATATATATATATATATTCACATATCAGATCAATAAATTTATTTATATTATTTAACTAAATACGGTTCACAAAGAGTTGATGAATATGAAGTGTATAATTGAATTTAGAAATTTCGCAAATCATGATTCACTCAACTATCGATTTATCATTAATCATATCCTCGCTTAACAGAACAATTGGTGACGATTAGAATAGTTGTAGGCAGTGGTAACAATATTGAACAAAAAAGTGGTTGAAATACTTGAACATATTATTCCACACATGATTGAAGTCTTAACAACTACCTTGTGTATTGAAAACGCTTATATTATATAAGAAGGTACATACATCAGTGATTACTATCCATTTAATAAGGATTTCGGCTGCAATATTTGAAACATCATCATTATAAACATTAAAAAGTATTGAATGCCTAAACAGTTTGCAAGATTCGGATTTTATTAAATTTGTGTATAAAGAAATTTTAAAAGCAGTCACTAAAAGTTATTAGATTTGAAGGCAAAGAATGAACATTTTTTCGGCATATTAATAACAATACTCTGAGTATTCCTGATTATTGAGTCTCACTATCGAAAAAAGAATCAATAGGACAAGTAGTAGTAAAAATTTAACATTAATTTCGGTTTGATTATGTGATACTTGAAGCATATTACCTAACAATGGTAATAATAGTGATTATTAGTATGTATATATTGATGTTCTGACAGGTGTCATGTCACTTTTAATGCGATGGTCGCAGTGATATAACAAAGCATCAGTTCGTAAAGTTGGTACTAATTAAGGTATTATTTAGTGATAAATAGTTTCACTTACAGCGTTTCATATCAGCTGCGGTTTATATTGGATTGAGACTGAGCGTTGTAATGGTGAGCAGTCTTCCATCTACTACATTCGTTATCGTTCGACGAAAGAACTAATAGTCAGTTAGTAATATGTATGTTTCTTTCAATCTACTTCTCTGTAATTTCAATGAATCTGAATTCTAAAGAAAAGTAAGGACAGCCCTCAGCCTACAATCACTGAAAATACTCTGTAATTATACTAAATTCAAGACATAATTGGCAGTCAAGTCATGTGCTATGGTCTGCTGAATTTTTGACCTACGAGGGTAAAGAAGTTACAAAGCTGATAGAGTAGCAACATAAATTAACTATTTGGGAAACATATATAAATACCTTCATCTGTATGGGCAGATTTATGTAGAAAGAATGTCTATTACCAAATACCAAAATAGTGACAGGATTTATGTGTTCGCTCTAACCAAAAAAGATGACTCTTTTTTAACTGATATTCGAAGAAGCACATAAGAATGCCTTATATAAACTTACTAAGCGACTGATAGTTGATATTGGTTTAGGAATTTTGCTCGGGAATCCTGACACTGCCATCTCAAAGCCTAATGTTTTAGCAGTGATAAACAGCTTAACCATATTGAACTAAAAGTACAAACCGTTGTTCTTCTATTTTAATTATTGACAGTTTTATAAACCCGTTTAATGATTAACATTTTCATTGTATAGACCAACCTTGATAATTTATGTCATCAGTATATGTTGATCTTTTGGAATTTGTAAATAAAATAGTAGTAAAGTCATTCTGTATACAAGGCTTGATAAGTCTTCTTTAGTATTTAAAAGATAAGAAAGCTTCTGACCCAACCGACCCGCACTTCAATTTAAAGTAGGCCTTCTCAAAACTTTTCTAAACAGATGACTCAGTGGAGTAAATTTCATTTTTTTTCAGCAGTTGCGATGACCTTTAGGTACGTTTTCACATTTAAAATGAAGAGTAAAATAAGCTTTTTCAAAAACAAAACTTTAATAGTTGAAGAACTAATGAAAACTATGAGATAATTTAAGTTGAAATTGTTTAAATTACTCCGTTGCTGATACTTGGACTGAAATTTGATTGATCTTGGTTGATTAGTGTGTACCTTGTACTAACAGTCTGTATATAGCCTTTATGACGCAAGCTGATATAGAACAGATGAAATGTTACTAGCAATGGGATCCAGGACGCACATTTCCTTCTGTTTGGGACTTGTCAGTTGAAAATATCTACATCCCTGAGTTGATGTTTACTCATTCGCTTCAAACACCTTCGCATTATTCATTTAGCTACTGATTCCAGTTATACAACAAAAGAGTCCTAAATAGGACTGGATGCGTGTCCTGTATTCCGCTGCTGGTCTTATCCTATATATTTTAATAAAACAAAACTAATAGCTTACCAGATTTCAGAACAGTTCAAACAATGTCCTTTATTGAGATATAACTCAATAGTCTTAGAAGTTGTGGCAACAAAATTAAACTTTAAATAGGTGAAGTCATATTTTAATAATCAACCAACTCATAACATTAGCCGATTACTTCTCTGGCGTTATTTGTTTCATTATTTGCCCAAGATAATAAGCGAATTTAAGAATTTCTAATTTGCCTCCATAGCCTCCATAGATTTATCGTGAGGATTAGTTTATTGAAGCCTTAAAAATCACCGACTATAATCAATTCCGTCTGTTAGAAAACTGTTGTCAATCAAGGGAATCACGGAGAAGTAAACCAGATAGTCAAGAAATACGCTTCGAAATGGCAGAGTATTTAGAACAAATAATCAAATGATGATTAAAACTAAAATTAGTTTCACTGGTAACTTTTTTAATCAAAGAACAAAGTGGTCTAAGGCTTTTTTTTCCTTTTGATAAAATTGTTATATACATTTCATAAAAAATAGTATGATACATATTGAACATTTAATATTAGTAATGAATGCACCGCAGTATATTACATTAATAAACGTATTTTTTTTTATAGTGTTTCGTGGTATAGTCAAATCTCGAACAATTCATGGAGATTTAATGCGTCTTGAAGTTGGCATTCAAAACACATGGCGTATTACTGGAGCAGCAGAACATTTATTACCTAAAACAGCATCACCGAATCTTCCAGCTTATCGAGTTTGGTTACGTCTTAAAAATAATTCAGCTGATAAACGTAATTCAAATTGTCTGTGTCCAAACCTTCAAGTTGGTCAATCATATTTATTCATAACACGTTCACATCAGGTAGTATGAAATACTGATTTCCTAGCATTGTAAACTATTTTGTATATGAAAGAAATATTATTTGAGTTTAGAATGAAGGAATCATATTTAAAATACAGTGAAGACGAATGACACACTAAGAGAAAGATAATCATTCACAAATTTAAGTAGTGTTAATGATTCAGTTATTGGATTGACTATAGTTTAATTAGTTAGTTAGTTTAGTTCCCCGATATAATAATCCTTTGCAAAAGGTGACTTGATTAAATACAGTTATAATTCAGTTGGATACATACATCATCTGTCAACAGCTATGTTATTTGTGTAACCTAACTCAAGTTGACAAAATCTTGGTTTATTAAATTCAAATTATGGATTTTACTTCCTAACAAAACAACTTAGAAGGTCAGGAACGAACAAACAGCATCAAGAAGGAAACGAACAAATTAGTTTCGAAAATTTAGAAATATAGGCTTTCCGGTTAAAGAATTTGTCTGTTAAATATTTAGCCACAAGTTCGTATCCCGTACCATCTACTTTGGTTTGAGCAGAAAAGTATCTTGATTATGATTCATACACAAAATGTTATTTGTAGCCTAGTTCATAAGCTTGATGAGTGGTTGAAATAAAAAGGTACAACACCTTGGTTTCATGGTAGTTGGCGTTCGTGAGAAGGGCAGAGATTTAATGTTAAAGCACCTGATGTTCTTAGTGAGACTGAAATTACTACTAACTGACCTGGTAAGTCAGGACAATCAGTATAAACTGACTGATTGATTTTTGTTAGTAGTGAAAAATAAACGGACACAATATAGATTACTCATCAGTGGTCAACCAGCTCACCTGAATCTCTATTTGTTAAGTGAAAAATAACAAATTAAAAATAAAGATATCATTTTCGTGGTGCATTTATCAAGGATTGTTTCCGAATGATGGATAAAGAAACAAATAAAGAAATTGTTTAATTCATATTTTTCGAAAATAAGTCCATGTTCCCCTCGAGTTTCATGCTGTTGGTAGATCAATTACTCTTTTTAAAAGCAATTATCATTAATTTACACGGTATGATATTATTTGACTGGTCATTAAAAAAGATGAGAACCTTCCGAAAAAAATTATTGTTAGTGTTAATTTATCGAATAAAATTGGTTCAGTTTTATATCACGATCGATTGCATTATAAAAATATTCTGATGATGACCACCTATGCATATGTAACAATGAAAGTTGATTATTTCAACTGAATAAATCAATAGCGATGGTAATAAAATTTCAAACTTCATTTGTAATTCAAATTTCTATACCAGCTTTCTGATCAGAGAAGACAGTACATAGTAAAAGAGAGAGGTTTAATCAAAAGAGTATATTAGAATACGTGACTAAATATCATATACTGTTGAGTGAATCAGTATCTGAAAAATTTGTCAAGTGAAAATTCCTATTCTACTCTTAAACTGACTCAAATACAAACAGAAATACAGTTAAATTTACAGCGTATAGATATATTTTAAAAGAAATAAAATTGGTATTGATTAACTGAAGATATTTTTGGTTCAATATTCTAAACCCAAGTTATCTAGGTCAAATGGTTGATTAGTTAAAAGTTATTTAATTTTGTGTTGAAATAAGCCTAAAAATCGAATTATACAGAACTAATAATTCATAACTAAGTTTAAAAGATGACTTAATCAAAGTTACAACACAAGTCAACCATCCTGTTAAATTATTAATAAATATTGTGTAAATCACACATCAGATAGATTTATGTACTCAGTCTAGTAGTGGCACTACCTAACTAATAATAACAGAGTAAATGACTTTATGTTCAAAACGGTGGTTGATAGTCGAATGCTTTAACCACTAACACATCGCTCCACTAAATTAGACTAGGCAGTAAAACATTTTGGCTAATAGATAAGTATCAGGCTGAGTTTGGTCCTTATCCGATTCCCTCACGATGCTGAAGTTATTACAAGTATGAAATAAAACATGAAATTATTTATTCATTTTCATATCCATTACTAGTTACTGTCACTCAATAAGGATAAAACAACCAGAACATAATTTGAAATATTATAAATATCTAGCAGTTGTTCAAACAATGAGAATAATGCCAGTTACTATTTTGTGTTTGATCAGAAATACAAGGAATTGTTTACACTATTTGGCAAATACAAATAGGCACATAATGGTAGTGTTAGCACTATCTTATTTTCAACTTTGATCAACCGAGGCCACTAGTCACATGTTTCCGTTAAGACTTCAGAAATCTACCTTACATTGGTGAAGATAATAACTAAAATAGTATTTAAAAAATACACTCAACTACGAAAATTATTTGACCTATCTCTATAGGGTTGGCGACCCCATCCCGCTAAATAAACGCTAACAATAAAAAGTAGTTCAAACCAATTCAACTCTGCTCTGGGAGTTAGGTCTTCATTCAGAAGAATTATGACGTCTCATTATGAAAGCCGGAAGTCAAAAAGCCGATGCCCATTCTCAAAATCAGATCAACCATTCAAAAGAATGGAATGTTCGAACAATGTAGGAGACCGAAATACTGTTCCGAATTGCTACAGAGATGAAAAGATACAATCCGGAGGTGCTTGGAATCAGTAAAACGCATGGGACGCAGGTTAGACAACTAAGACTAACTTCAGTAGAGCTGCTGTTTTACTCCGTCCTTGAAGAAGAAAATGCCTCACACACAAGGAGTTGCACTGATTCTGTCCAAACAATCACAAAAGGTATTGATAGGATGGAATTTCGTGGACTCAAAATCATCGAACCATCCTTCAAAACAAGGAAAGAGAACACTACAATGAACGTCATCCGATGCTATGCATCTACCAACGACTACAATGACGACGTTAAAGGTCAATGCTACGAGAGGCTGCAGTCAATTGTTGAAGGATGCTCATTGAGGGATTTGACTGTTCTAATGGGAGACCTAAGTACCAAGGTTGGCATGGACAAAACTGGATCTGAAGATATCATGGGACGACATGGACTGGGAGAAAGGAACTAAAATCGTAAGAGATTTGTAAGCCTATGTGCCTCCAACAAGCTGGTCATCGGCGGCACAATATTCCCACACAAAGCTACATGGATTTCACCGGATCACACTACACAGAGCTAGAACGACCATATCTGTATCAATAAAAGGTTCAGAAGGACCATGGAGGACGTGAGAACCAAGAAAGGAGTTGATATAGCCTCGGATCATCACTTGCTGGTCGCTGAGATGAAACTCAAACTCGAGAAGCACTGGACAACGGGGCGGACAACATCAAAAAAGTTTAATACAGTCTTTCTTCGGGATATTGGAAAGCTCAGCGATTTCAAGATAGCCCTCAGCAATAGGTTCCAGGCTTTTCACGATCTACTCAATGGAAAGAAAACTACCATGGGGAATAACTGGGAAGGGATCGAAGGGGCAATCACTTCAACATGTCAGGAGGTTCTGGGCTACAAGAAGCACTATCATAAGTAATTGATCACTATTGGTACACCTGATAAGATTCAAAAAAGAAGAAACAAGAAGGTAACAATCAATATCAGCCTAACAAAGGCAGAGAAGGCCAAGGCACAAGCTGAATACACAGAAGCGAACAAGCAAGTGAAGAGGAGCATCAGAGCCGATAAACGTAAATATGTGGAAGATCTAGCAGTGCCGGATTTAAAGGCTGAAAGACAAGGAAACTTGAGATAATCGTACTATACAACAAAGAAGCTCGCTGTAAACTATCGAAAACCGGAACGACCAGTGAAAAGCAAGAAAGTCAAAGTAATCAACAACATTGAAGTACAACGAAACAGGTGCGTAGAGCACTTTAAGGAACTCTTAAATCGACTAGCCCCACTAAACCCACCCAACATAGAGGCAGCATCCACGGACCTACCAACCGATGTTGGCCTACCAAAAATTGAAGAGATCAGCATGGTCATGGGACAAATCAATAGCGCCGAGCAGCGGGACCAGACAACATTCCAACAGAGGCAATGAAAACAGACGTGGAAGAAACTGCAGAAATGCTGCATATCTTCTTCAACAAGATTTGGGATGAAGGACAAGTACTAACAGACTGGGAAGAATCAGGATATCTCATCAAAATACGGAAAAAAGATGATCTCAGCAAGTGTGAGGACTGTAGAGGCATCACTCTTCTCTCAATTCCAGGCAAAGTTTTCAACAGGGTGTTGTTAAACAGAATGAAGGATTTCGTAGACGCCCAACTTCGAGATCAACAAGCTGGATTTCCTAAGGATAGATCATGTACCGACAAAACTGCAACATTACAGATCATTGAGGAACAATCAATTGAATGGAACTCACCACTCTACATCAACTTCATTGACTACGAGAAAGCATTCGATAACGTGGACACGAAGACACTATGGAGTGCCTAAGAAGATAGCTGATATCATGCGGGATTCTTACGATGGATTAGACTGAAAATCAGGTATGAGGGACAGCTGACAGACCTTTTCGAGGTGAATACCGGTGTTAGGCAAGGTTGCTTACTCTCACAATTTCCCCTGGTGATCGACTGGATTATGAAGACGTCAGCATCTGGAGTGAAGCACGATATACAGTGGACAACTAGGATGCAGCTGGACGATCTGGACTTTGCAGGTGTCTTCTTCTATCTCCTCTATCGCACAAGCAACTACAAGTGCAAGAGAAGACGACCAGTGTAGCAGCAGCCTCAGCAGGTCTCAGCATATACAAAGGAAAAAGCGAAATTCTCCAATACAACACAACATCCGCCAACCGAATCACACTTGATGGAGATGTCTTGGAGGACGTAAAAACCTTTGCAAATTTGGGCTGCACCATTAACAAGCAAGACGGATCTAATACAGATATGAAGAAGCGGATCGGAAAAGCGAGGACAGCATTTCTACAGAATTTTCAATACAAATGTTAAGACAGTTCTACCGTATGGCGCGGAAACTTGGAGAACTACGAAAGCCATCATCCAGAAGATATAAGTATTTATTAACAGTTGTCTGCGCAAAATACTGCGGATCCATTAGCCAGAAACCATCGGCAATAACCTACTTTGGGAGAAAACAAACCGGGTTCCAGCGGAATTGGAAATCAGGAAGAAGAGCTGGAAGTGGATGGGATACACATTGAGTAAAGCACCCAACTGTGTCCCGAAATTAGCCCTCATTTGGAACCCTTAGAGTCAAAGGAAAAGAGGAGGTCCAAGGAACACATTACTCCGAGAATTGGTGACAGACTTTCTGCGGCCTATGCTCCATTGGAAGTAAGTAAGTAAGTAAGTATGTAATATCATACCATAAAGTGACGAAAATTTTTCTTAAAGTAATCTAATGTTCACATACCAACTGAACAAACAACTTCATTTCTGTTTCAAACATCAAATGTTTTTAATATAGGTAAGTGCATATATCATAAACAAATTCTAATTCATTGGACATTGTTAAAAAAACCCGTGTGTTTCTAACTATAAGCAATTGCTTAAAGTCAGTCATATTTACGTCTGCATTATGATACTAGAATATACAAACCTAAGACTACTAATTATATAATATAGATGTTGTATATCTATTGCAAATGTCAAGGTCATAGCCCACATTTTCGCAAGCATAATAGTAGCATTCACAACATCATATATGTATATATTTATCATTTATTTAAAACCAACTGAATTCCGTCTCAAATATGCTGTATAACAGCGATTTTACCCATATTTATCTACTATATAGGTCCCATATGGAGATCGAATGGAGTTATTACTTGATGCACACAGTGTAATACTAAGATGGAGGGAATCATGGAGGAGACGATTGGCAAAATTTGTACGCCGTGCTGCACGTGAATCGTGTGACAGAGAGAAAAATGCCGTTGTTATTGATGATGATAACGTTGACGATATTAATAACGATAAATTAAAAAGAACTCGTCGAGTACAAAGATTACGTCTAGGTTCAGACTACCATTCGTCAAACACACGGATGAATCAACATAATCCATTACAATCTCCTGCTTCATCATATTATCATTTGGATAAGTTAAGGCCATCTACCAAGTTGAAAAAACAAACCACTCAACCATCCATCATTTCTAACCTACATAATTCTAAAGAGGTTAGTCCAAATTACCCACCTTATAAGGATAAATTTCAATACGTAGCCAATAAAAATATGTATTCATCAGTTTATTCAAATCAATAAATTTGGGTCAGAAAAAACATTAAGATATGAAATACTAATTCATCAAACAGCAGTATTTAACATTGAAATCTAGCTAGCGATATTGGTGTACAGTGTTAATGCTTTCATTATATAACTTCATCCCTCTATAAAAAAAAACATTGAATCGAACTATCAGACAGTAAGCTTTTTTCACTTAAATTTATTACAGTTATATATCCAGTATCTGTTAACAGCATTAGTTGATCATGAGGAGAAAAAACAATGATTTGTCAATCAGGAACAATTAATGAGTAAAAATGTATTCGTTATAACCTTTAAATATATACACTAAAATATTATAATCTGTTATTTATTGAGATTTCTCACTAATAATTAAATATATGTTTTATACAAAGTTATTCATAATCCAATTGTCTATCCGTTCTCTTATCCATAGAATCTTTCGTCATCATTCTTAATATGATAACAGTAATTATTATAATAATTAACGGTAAATTTTAAAACACTTGGTTCACAATATAACTAATATTATTTACAACTAGAACTTTATATTCTTCAAACTACTGACTGCAATAATTCGGTATGTTCACCACAAATCAAATTTCAAATGGATATTGACTACTAAATTCGTTTAACTTGGTGTAAATTTCGAAAAATACTTAATTTTAACCATTGCATTTACGTCTAATTAATTGCTACCTCGTATTGTTTATTTCTTACATTTTTTTGATGTCTCACACATGCATTATTAGTATTTATAATAGGATTGTTAATTAAAACAATGTTATATGGATTACTGATAAAAGCATAGTGATGATCTTTGTCCAATCACCAACCTACATTATTGTTTTGCTTTAACATATCCTTGAAAATTACATTCATATTTCAATTATACTCTAATAAAATATATTATATTGTGCTTACTGTTTAATCTTTTCTGACTGAACATTGTTAAAAATTTCCAGTAAGAGAAATGAATTTTAATGTTTTCCAAAAATAAAAAAATATTTCCATTCTAATGTTACGCAATTAGAAAAAGTAGATTCCATTGCGTTGACAAAGGTTTTTGATTGAAACTTACATTCCGATACTTTGTCAATATTATTTTTTTGGTAAACGTAATCACCTCAAACTTTAAATGTATTAATGAACGCACTATCCTAAGCCCTTATCCATTGACATTAGTGATTTAGTCAGACCCAGGAATCTAAGTCCATTTTTGGGAATTCGAAAACACAAACGACCCAGGGAGTCAGCCAAATTAGGAGTGAGATAGTGACTGACTAGTATTAAAGAACTAGATTCTATCTGTTGTCGTGATGGGCCTGACCCGAAAACACTGGCTACGATTTAATATGAGCGTCCCTGAGAAGTCCTAAGCAAGAATCGAATATCTATTCAGTGTTTTCGGTATGTCAGTACTAATTTAACGGACGAAAATCATCCATAAGTGCCTCTCTACTTTATTCACATGATGTACTCAGTGCTGGTTGCCTAAGAATTTACTGTGATACAAATTATCTTCTCACTGGAGAAATCATCTTCCACTTCTGAATATGGTACAAATAGATGGAGCAGCAGTAAGTCCCATTGTGTCTATTTCAGTTTGAACAAACGAACACTATCACTACTTAAATCTAAAGTTATTTCCTTAAGACGCTCTTTACCTAACATTTTTAAGAATAAATGAACAATGAAATGACAGTTTGCTGTTTTCACATATACAATATCCCTTTGAAAAGAATATACCAACTACATTTCAGCTATGATTACATTGATTCTCAGGTAGATAGAACCTAGATTTTTCCTGTTTACTTTCCATCACTAATAAGATGGTCCACTTGATGTTACTAGGCATAGAAAACAAGTTTCATCTGATGGCAGGTTTATTTACTGAATGGAGTTGTAGAAAGTTTATACTGGTCTTTTCATAATCTGAACTGGTTCTGATAATCAGACGCAATATTGGGACTTTGCAGCGCTACTAGTTTATTGAGATGACTATTTAGATTATTTGAAAACATAGTTACCCAACTAAAAGTGACTCGTGTCTCATACATACAGAACAATTATTGATACTTCCATTGGGATACGAAAGCCTAGTGATGGCGTAAAAGACGACTTACAACTACCATTTCTTAAGACAATAAATCTTTGTAGTCCAACAACATCCTCCTACTGCAACGATTATTTAGTTAGTAGTGTATGAAGCACATAAAAAATGTGCGCGCAACCTATGACCAAATCTGTGCAGTTCAGACGCTGTCATGTTGATGCGGCAAAAGATACAAGATTGGTACATATTTAACTTTACTCTAAGGTTAAATGGAAGTCTGGATTCAAGTAATTTCCAAACCTACAGATTAAGGATTCAGTGTAAAACAGTTTGACAAGCTGTTTATAAACATAGCGCCTTCTTGAAAACTCGATGTAGTGATTATTAAATTAAACTTGTTCAGCAACTACTTAGTAAACTGTCCTTAAGCTACTATAATTCCGAACACATATTTCTGAACCAATTTTACCTACATTTTCTTTACTTGAATCAACAATGCAAATAAGCCATATCAACCGAGAACAAACACAATGAACATGTTTACTTGGTGTGTGACTGCGCCGGTGACCATTATCATGAGGCAAACAATTACATATGTGACAGTAAACTAAAACAGAGCAGACGGTTGATATTATAGGATTTCGTAGATGGAAGAAATTTGGACCATAAATCACTACCCACAACAACGGGTGTACTAAGTGTAAATAATGACAGATTGGTTAAGATCATTTCAAAATGATGTGATCAGATACGTCTTCAATTAGTAACGTTCATATTTGAAGTGGCATAATTACACCTTCAAGTGATCCAGCCTAAACTTAACAACCTCTTTTTAACTTATTGTGTACAAAAGAAGAAAACAATGCCTGAAACTGTGTACTATGTATATGAAGGTTAGCACTTTAATTTTTAAAAATGCTGGTCAGTTACTGTGTACAGTGCATGAGTACAAATGTAGTAAACTAAAGATCACAAACCTCTTTATGAAAAATATCCGGTATACGGACACGTGAACCTATATGAACATATAAACGCAGTAACTGTTAGGAGATTTTTACAATTTGCGTATATGTATAATTGCTGTGATTTCACAGATAACTAAAACTTTGCAGGGAATTTCGTAGCAACAAATTAAAACAAACAATGAGAAGTTATTTAATGACGGATTTTGTTTTATCAAGTAAGCTAAAAGCAAAAACTTTATTTAAGGTAAGAGTGAAAGTGCAGAAATGTAGCTCATTATTATTAATAATAACAGTCATGATAATAATAATAATAATAATAATACAGCTTTAAGAAGATCCATAATACTGGAAAATGTTTACAAGCAAAATAAACACGCTGACAAATACATACAAAACAAAAAATAAAATCAACATTTTCAGCCTTTAAATAATAAGAGGCAGATTGGGCTAATGAACTGAGACAGTAGTACTACAACTACTATCATCGGTAAGATTAACAGAGAACATTTGCCTAAAGTTGGCATTAGGAGTACCGGGTTGTTAAAAAGAGATCCAATTAGAATTCTTCCGGTTCTTCAGCTTCGGGAGCAGTGAAGCCATCCTGTCAATAGCAAGCATAAAATATACAAGTCATAAAGGCATTTTATGCAATTTTAGAAAATTACCACACTACACACATTTGGAATAAGGTTCACATAAGAGCGTCATGTTGACACTTTTAAATAGAGCGCATACAGCACACCAACCTACGGTTAAGAAAACAATGCATATCTCGGTGGTACATGACATTCAAATGATAATGACTGTCAGATTGGAATTTTGTTCGTTATCTAAGCCAAAATAGGTACATAACGATTAAATTAAAAAATTTTAATTTTGCCGAATGTGATAAAAAACACCAACAAATATGATAAAATTTATGATATTTTGTGAAAATAAGGACTATTAAAGCACGTAATAATGGAATTCTGACAGGCTAGAATTATTCTCAGTAACCAATTTTAAGGAAATAAAATTATGAAGGAGACAATCCCTACATTATAATTTATTAGATGTAAGAAATTTTATTTGAAATTAAATTGAATAATTCACTTACTTCAGTTGCGTAGAGGATTTCAAAAATACTCTTAGTTAAATCTACTTTTCGATTTTCTTGACAAATTATTTCAATGCTACGTAGTTTATTGAAGTAGAAATCTCTTTCACGAAGTAATCCTTCGATAGTAGTCTTGTTTTGTTCAGCCTGTAAATAGAAGATGCGATAAGACAGTTATTCAGTTAAATACGTTGCACTGCACAATAATAATAATAAATTCGTATTACTGTTCTTTCACTCACAAAAAACTAGTTCCGTTTATTTACTGAAAGCACCAAGAACAAGTATTTTCATAGAATGATTGCTTATAAAGCATATCAAGTAATAACAAACAGAGAAAAAATAAAACGTACGTTGAAACAACGATGCTAAAACTGACATAGTAGCGTTCAACCTAGATTGTTAAATTTGTGCTGAGATCTTAGCATTAATTTTTAGAAACTGTCGGTTAGTGTGAATAATGATTTCTTGATAAAAACAAACTAATATTTTTATCAGTACACTGATTTTACTAAATTTATCTCTAAAGATCATAGGCTTAAATGTACTGATATACATACCATAAATTATAAAACACTGAAATAATATGGAATAAACTGCTCGGTTAACTGAATTACACTTTTATAACACAATAAATTAAATGATCATTAAATTGCGGTGTGTTGAAATAACCGAAAAGTTAATAAAATGTAACAACTTTTCAAGTATTTCAGTGCATATCAATCATTTGAGAATCAAACGGTGTGAAGTCTAGCAATAACTTCCAATCTGAACTTAAAATTTATTTTGCAATTACATTTAATATTCATACGGAATAGTGATCTTCGTAAGTGATTAAAGAAAAGAGCATGAACAGACATAAGTTCGAAACTCCACTCACAACTACAAGGTTTTAGAAAATGTAAGGCTGGCTATAAACTCGGGAGAAACTATATTAGCCTTCTGAAAACCGATTCTAAAAATGTAGCTTGTTGGACAGCATTGAAATGAAAATTTTGCAACAATCAATTCTAAATAATGACAACAGTGCAGACTATTATTAATGAGTAAACTATAGAAGTGAATATTAAACTTTTGATGTGGAAAACAAAAATTGTCATTAAGTTTTCACAAACCTAATTTACTTAACGTAGTTGACATAAAATGAATAATGTAATCTAATCAACACAACAATGAAGCATTTTGCAATTCACGAAAAGTAGTTCGTACTTTTGATGGTCTTACTGTAAAGCAGTTTTTAAATGAGAATACAAGTGCCTGGTCTAAGTAATCGACGCTAAATCATTGGGTTACTTGATTCTGGTAACTGATTCAGAACCAAGCAAGTTATCCTGAATTGAATGTCTATGAATAGTTCATGGACTTAAGAATAATACGAAATACAATTAGAATCATCAGTCTAGGAATCATCTATGACATACAAAATAGAAAATAAACTGGAAAAAATGACCAACTTAAAAAGGTATTATGCTGCGTAACAGTATAGAAAAAAACTTGAAAAAGTAAAAAAATTTTCACTGAATAATAAAGACAGTAACAGCAAGAAGTATACAGTAAACAGGTTTGAAGCGACAAAAATTCAACGTTTAAGAAGAGGTAGGAAGTGTGGAAATTCGTGCTGCCGTGGTCGACATTGAGATTCGGTATTGGATTTTTATTGACTCACTTTTTACCTGTTAAAAATGCACAATAAGCAAGCATACAACTTCTCCATAACCATTCAGAAAAGCAAATTGTAATATCATGAATTGGTTCCACTAATTGGTAAAACTACCTTAGGGCTTCTCAGAAACTACTATCACAGCAGGTAATACTTTGAATAGAAACCATCACTAAGCCGATTCAGTGAACATAGGTTGCTATTATTTAAACACACACATAATTACAAAAGGAATGTAAGCTGAAAACTATGGCATAATATGTGCCTATGATTTAGATTTTAGTACTTAACACATAAATCTTACATCAGTGGCCGTGAAAAACGTAGTCAACCAAGTGATGAACAATCAAATACTCTGAATCCTTGCAAGCTGTCTAATGGTTTTAGGCCATTTGGGCATTTGTAACACATCTCCTAATCATCTCAATTAATGCGGTTTCAATACTTCATCTACTGATTTGCTATCCTTACCTAGTACTGGTCTCCTAACGACAGCCTTGCTTACTCGGTTTTCCCAGAGAACTTCTGCGCAGTAAACTTGCCCTTTCATTGGCAGACGGATATCTCTCCTACGCTATGAGTGACGCAAGTTGACGAAAGTCAATCAAGCATTCCATATCCATGCCGAGACTTCTTCAGATACCAGGTCATTAGCACTGATAAGACTCCCAAGAAAAATGAGGCAGTCAACGCGCTAAACTACTTCACTACCTATCAATAGTTCAGGTGCCGACGCAAGTCAATTCGGAAGCAACGTTTTGAGTTTCCAAGGGGAGAATCGCATCTCCAGAGTGCTTGCATTGTTGCTTAAGGTGGTCATAAGACTCTGCACTTCGCCAGCGTCTTCACTAAACACAACTATGTCATCAGCATATTCTAAGTCAACAAGTGATTCTCCTGATAGGTCAGCCCCTTAGAAGTCAGTTGGTGAGAGTATTATCTCTAAATGCACGTGGATGACAGGGTTAAATGAAAATGAACACAATTTACATGGCTGTCCAACTGTTTTTGTAATTGTTCTAGAGATATACTCTTGACGCAGGCAAATACGCTTTTATACCGAAGCATGATCTGAATGCTCCGAAATCAGCTGTATTATCCTATGGAGCCTTTTCATCGCTGGCTGATACCAAACTGGTCTAGTTGGGTCCAACGTTTAGTCAATTTTGAGAGTCGCCATATCAAAAGATGTTTTCAACTGTGTTTAGAGTTAGTATTTGCCAAAAATAGGCGATTATCTGAGCATAGCTGCAACAGACGGTCGCCATTATCTGTTCAATGAGCTACATCGTCATAAAACCCACTTAGTTGCCTTTCGGTTTCGTTTGGTTTGCCTAAATGATCATTAAATTCACCAGCCACTACACTACTACATCAAAACGCTTAGCTTTTTGAAGGCTGTAGATTTTGTCCGTAGAATTCATCTTTTACCTCATCCGAGCTGCAGTCAGTCGCAGCATAGACAAAGACAACTGTAGGTGTCCCTATCTTTATGAGTCCTTACTATCCCATTTAGTCGGAGAGCACACAAGCGACTGTCTACTGGGAACCATCTAATCTAAGAGAGCTAGTTCTGCTTTAGAAGTCACTGCTGTACCTACATCAACGAGGCGACGGGAAGCACCAGTCGGACTTCCAGATACACGAAGAGTAAATCGAAATGGTTCTTTATTTGGACATGATGAGGTCAAGTGAACGACACTACTCGACTCCTGTATGCGCATTTCGGAAACGCAACATATATTGATAGCATGAGATTCTAAAATCTTAGCTAAGGAAGCCTGTTGTCATATTCGGCACCGGGTTCGAACAAAGAAAGCTCTAACATATAGTTTACAGCGTGGTTTCAGGGGACCAGGAATAACATTTCCTGTACTCGGCATCAGCTGCGCGAGATGATAAAGGTATGCGAAAACATTTATTCACGGAGACAAGAGAACTATTAAGAGGCGAGGGAAGGATTTGAACAAATTGATCTTGTGTTGTTACGGATATGAGGGCGGATGTCACTTCCTGGCTGATCAGAATGGAAGGGTATTTCTCGAGGAATCTGAAAAGGAAGTCATATTAGTGTTGCTCTTAACTACCTGGGAGCGTGACCACAAAGCCCAAGAAACAACTACTTTAGGACAGTCGCGCACGCCCTTTATATGCGAAGATGTCAACGTGTTAGCTCCGCCAGAGATGGAAACTCGTGGGGTAAGATGAGGTGTGACATTTTTAAGGTCGACCCTTTTTAACGCTTTCCGTTATGAGAAGGCAACATCACTGAAGATGGTGGTTGTCCTAAGTAAACCTCTTACTGCTGTCACACCCCTTTACAGTCGGCAGTACGAATAAGCCCTAAGGACTTAAGCTGATGTTTTTAGTCTTACCGTTCACCAATCGACTTGTCAGGCATGGTTAGATCTAAAGGAACTTGTATTTCAGTCAATATAGCCCAGTTGGATCATCATGATAGGCAAGCCCACCACCGCGTCGAGGTAGGAGGTACGGTCGGGATAGCTATGAAAAGTACTATTTGAAACATCAGGACAAACTCAAGCCAGTATTTTATTATAAATTAATTTGGAACATTGTCGCTGTTTATCGAAAGACAGATTGGGTAATGGTAAAATTAGACGCATCGTATTAAGTAAATATGGTAGATTGGGTTGTGAGCACTGACGAATATTTGCTTAAGTTCATACGTTATGATTGAGTGGTTTATACGGGTGAATATCACTTATGCCACCTGTATCTATACCAGGGATACGACTTTTACCAAGTTCTTCACACTGATACAACTTAGGTAAGAGGTTTATTAACCTTTTTTAGTTTTTATTGCTAACCAAGGTGTGATTACGGACATATTTTGGACAATTTGAGTCGCAAAATTATTTAAAAATGAAGTCGTTTTTGATTAGACTAAATTAAGCAACCTAGAGGATAAAACGCCATAAAAACTATTCTCTTGGACTGAAAATAGATTTCACCACCTCACAATTTAGGAATATTAAAAAGAATTAACTAGGTAATACTAATCATAGATAAATTCAAACTTCGGGAATTATGTCAATAAATTTACCAACGCAGATCAGCCCCCAAACAAAACGCGTATTTAACAAGTTTCAGATAGACAATATAAATAATAACGGAAAATCTTTTTGGAATAGCTTTTCTTCATAAGCACTTACGTTAGAAGTAAATGTTACATTGCAAATATTACGTCAGTGTTTGGTATATAAGGAAAGTGATATTTTTATAATGATAAATTTAACGCAATTAAAGTTTTAAAAATACATAAACTAACCTCTAGTGTAAGTTGATCAAATTGCTGTTTCAAGATGGCTACTTCTGCATTATCTCCAGAAGAATAATGACTATTATTATTAGTAGGAGTTCCTGAAATACCAGACTGGCTGGTGCGCAAAGTTGTAACTACTGGGTGTTTTAAAAGGAAAACATGTAAAGGAATTGACATGCATTTGTTGAAAGGGTTATTACGAAGATCACATTAGAATTACTCTAAATACAAAAAACAGTGACTGCCCTCCGTGATACAGTTTGAAGACCTAATTCATAAAAAACAGCAAGATAAATCCAAGTGAAACTCTGAGATATGGTGTAAAATCAAGTAGACGATGTTCAAACTTATGAATAAACATTCATCCAAGAAAATAGAGTAGGAAGACATCTTAACTGTGAAAAGTCTTTGTTTATACTCCTACAAATTGGTGACGAAGCCAGAGAAATTTTAATGCTAAGTTGAGCACAGTGATCCAAGTACCCTCAAACTATAATCAGTATTACTTACACGTCTGATGGTCAGTTCGAGATTGATAGATAAATTACCTAGAATGACCAGTTCTTTCTGCATTTGCCAATTCAAGTGCTCTCGTGGAGCAATTTATATTGGTAGATGTTCTAAGAATTAATATTTTTGTGCTAGCATACACCTTTCAGTGGGGTTAGGTAAAGGTACAATTAAAGCTGTTAACAACTCGTTTCTAGCTCGTTAGACAACAAAGGTCATACAGCCAACATGGAGGAATCATTAAAATGTATTAGTGCTGAACCTTTCTCCAAGTTGCCACACTTCACAAAATAATAAACTAAATCAATCACGACGGAGATGCACCAAGAGGGACAATAGCAGTCCACCCGTCCGTCCGTCCGATGCAACGTAGAACTTGGTACGTAAGTACATCAGTTCATGTTGCCATACCACATTAGCACAGAGATGTAATTGTCAATTCAAATCCAATAGTAGTAGAGGTAGTAAGGGAATTAGCAGTAATCGGAGAGGTTAGGGTTAGAAGATACTATTCAAGAAGTATGATTAAATGAGAAAAGTTTAGAAAGTCGAAACTAGAGGTGTTGAAGAATCCAGAAGATTAGGGTTTGAGAGAACACAAAGAATAAATGCACCGGCGCCATTGCGAACGATTTTGAGTCATGTCATTCAAGGTCTCTAACCATCGATTATTATCATCTCGCGGACCCCAACTAGGTAGTCGACAATTACCGACATGGCTAAGTCCACTCGTCATTGACTTCATGGATTTCTGCCATGTTTTCATTTGGCCGCCCCTAACTTTCTTCCAACCTACTCCTACACTACAAAACAAAGTTCGTCGAAGCAGTCGGTGGTTCGGCATACGCAAGACATGTCCCAACCACCTCGACTGATGAAGTTTCACCACTTCATCGATTGATCTGCCATCCTTGCCTAGTACTCGTTTCCTAATAAGAGCGTTGCACACTCGGGTGTCCCACGATATACGAGCAATGCTTCGAAGACACCTATGATCGAAAACCAGTAACCTACGAATATCTTCTACTCTCACTGGCCATGTTTCACAGCCATAAAGTAAGACGGAGCGAACTACTGCACAGTACACTCGTCCTTTAGTCAGCAAACGGATATCTCGCCTTCGCCATAAGTGACACAGGTTGGCAAAAGCCAATCGAGCCTTCTGTATCCGAGCTGAGATTTCGTCAGTCACCAGGCCATCGGCACTGATGAGACTCCCCAGATAAGTGAAGCGGTCTACACGTTCGACCACTTCACTCCCTATCACTAGTTCAGGTGCCGATGCAACCCAATCTTGAAGCAACATTTTGCATTTCCAGGGGGAAAACCGCATCCCGAACATGCTCGCATTGTTGCTTAGGGTAGTCAGAAGACTGCATTTTGTCAGCGTCTTCACCAAGTACGACAATGTCATCGGCATATTCTAAGTCAATAAGCGAGCCACCTGGTAAAAGGTCTACTCCTGAAAATTCAGACGAGGATAAGGTTATTTCTAGGAGCATGTCTATAATAAAATTAAACAAGAATGGAGAAAGTGGACATCCCTGACGGACACCACTTGAAGTAAAGAATTCCGACGACAGTTCGCCATAAGCTCTCACTCAACCAGTGGTGTTCGAGTAGAGAGCTTGTATGAGGTTAATGTACTTATTTGGTACACCTTTCAATGACAGACACTGCCACAGAACCTCACGATCCACTGAGTCAAACGCCGCTTTTAGGTCCAGGAAAACAACTATTGTAGGACGCCTAAATGTGTGTCTGTGTTCCAGGACCTGTCTGAGTGTGAAGATGTGGTCTATACAACCACGTCCAGGTCGAAAACCAGATTGGTTTTCTCGAGTCTGCTCTTCACGAGCTTTCGTTAAGCGTTGAAGTATTACTGAGGCCAATATTTTAGATACTATATTAGTTAGACTTATTCCCCTGTGATTGCCGCAAGTAAACTTTTTTCGTTTCTTATAGATTGAAACAACCAGTGATTGAGACCAGTCGGATGGGATTACGTCCAGTTCCCAGATTCTACCTAAGATCTCAGTCAACCTAGCTGCTAACACTGGACCACCATCCTTAAATATCTCAGGGATCAGTCTATCAGGACCTGCAGCTCGTCCTCGCTTCAGATTTCCTAACGCTTTCTCAACGTCATTAAGACTAGGGGGACTTAGGTCGATTTGCCATTCAGGATGACTGGAGATCGTGGGTAACCGAAGAGTGGCTCGTGGCCAGTTGAACTGATCCCTAAAGCGTTCTGCCCATCGATCCAGTCTCCTGGATTGAGAATGGATAATAATCCCATCCTTTTCCGAGATAGTCTCACTCACATTCGGGTTCTTAATACCAGTTTCTTTAATAAGGCGGAAAAGTTGTCTACTGTCGCCGATCGCCGCTGCCTTTTCCATTGCTTTTGCTTTCGCCACCCACCACTGTTCGCGGTTGTTACGCAGACTTTTTATAAGTCTGCGCCTAAGCTGACTACGCTCTTCATCATGCTCAGAGTCAGGTGGGATGCGTTTTCGAGCATCCATCAGTTCGGTGGATGCGACTGAAATCCACTGCTTCATCCTAGCCTTATGGTTTACCTTACTAGCAGATATCACTGCAGTTTCCACAGCCTTTTTGATATCATACCAACCTGCTTCTGGATGGGAATCACTTACATCGTTGCTTAACTCTCTTTCTAGTTCCTCCTGAAATATTTTTTTAGTTTGATTATCATTAAGTAAAACCCTAAGAGGCTTCCTTATGGTGTCTTTCCTACGTCCAGTAAGCCTTAAACAGATACGAGCTCGCACTAGAGCATGATCTGAATCCAAACATGTGCCCCAGAACGAGCGACAGTCTTCTATCGAACCCCTCCATCGGTGGCTGATGGCGATGTGATCTAGTTGAGTCCAACGTTGAGACGACTTCGGGGGTCGCCAGGTCAACAGATGCTTTTCCTTATGCCTAAAGTTGGTGTTCGCTAAGAATAGGCGGTTATCTGAGCATACTTGCAACAGACGGTCGCCATTGTCTGTTCTCTCAGTCGCTACACCATAACATCCAACTAGATGTCTTTCCTTTTCACCTAGTCTACCTACTTGAGCATTAAAGTCACCAGCCATTATTACTATATTAGAGCGCCTAGCTTTTTGGAGGAGGTCCGGAAGCTTTCTGTAAAACTCATCTTTAACCTCGTCTGCACTGCAGTCAGTGGGGGCATAGGCAGATATGACGAAGAGGCAACGGCGAGTGTCCCTATCCTTACGAGTCCTTACTGTCCCGTTTAGTCGGACAGCGCGCAAACGACTATCTACTGGGATCCAGTCAAGGAGAGATTGTTCAGCTCTACGACTCAATGCTATGCCTACGCCAGCAAGACCCCTGGAAGCAGCATCAGGGCTACCGGATACACGAAGAGTAAATCGAGCTGCTTCTTCGTTTTGACAAGGTGGAATCAGGTTAATGACTCTACTAGGATCCTGTATGCGCGTTTCCGAGACGCAGCATACATCGATGGCACGAGTTTCTAAAGTCCTAGGTAATGATGCCTGTTGCCCTATTTGACACAATGTCCGTACATTAAAAGCTCCAACATGTAGTTTAGAACGGGGTTTCAAGAGACCAGGAACGACGTTTCGTGATCTCGCTTCGTCTGCATTAGCGGTGCAGTGAGAAAAGGGAGTGTGAGTAGAGTTAGTCGTAGAGATAAGAGAGACATTAGGGGGTGTAGAAAGGATTTGATTTTGACCAATTTGGTCTCGCGTGCTGTTAAGGGTATGAGGGCGGTTGTCACTTCCCGGCTGCCCACACCGTGGAAGGTTGTTTCTTGACGAACCTGAAAAGGAAGATGGATTAGTGTTGGTGCGTGACCGCAGTGCCCAAGGGACAACTGCTTGAGGCCGGTCACGCACGACCTTTTTATGAAAGGTATTTAGAGGATTAGCTCCGTTCTTAAAGGCCCTTAGTGGGCACCCTTACCCAAGGAGACGGAAATCCGTGAGGTAGGGGAGGTGTGACATTTTTAGGGCCGACCTTTTCTAACCCTTCCTTCCTCGTGAGAAGGCAGCATCGCTGCACATGCTGGTTGTCCGAGGGAAACACCTTACTGCTGTCACACCCCTCTGCAGTCAGCAGTACGACGTCGCCCTCAGACCTTGGGTAGCTGCTTTTAGTCTCATCGTTCTCCAATCGACCTGCCTGGCATGGTAGGACCTGCAGGAACATATGTTCCAGCCAGTATAGATCGGTTGGGTCATCACGATAGGCAAGCCCGACCACCACGTCAAGGTAGCAGCTACGGTCGGGCAGTCCATCGCTAAGTCATCATAATCAACGCACATAAATATAGGAGCGGAAGAATACAGGAGACGCCTAAAACTCAAGCAAAAGTATCTGCAATATAGTGTTCGAGTAGAATTATATTACTTATGATCTACAAACACGAGAATCGGATCCCCATGATACTTATCATATCACACAGGGATTCCGAATAGTTGCGGGAAGCGCGTAGGTTGGTTAATATAGTACCGATGAGTAGAAAACTAATGAAATCAAATTGAAGAATGGCGTAATAATAAGCCTAATTTCGAGAAACACAAAGAATGAATTTTGTTGACTGACTTTCGGACATGTCACTCAAGTTATGGACTGGTTATATCAAAGACTTTGATCAGTCAGTCAGTTACAACGTAGAACGTCGTACGTAAGTACATCAGTTCAGGTTGCCATACCACTTTAATCAAGAAGTTTAAAGCTACCAAACGGGTCAGGCCTTATGGACTTATGCTTAAAGTTTTTCAATTTACTAGGGAAAGATAGAAAATGAATTGATGGTGCTGTTCATCTTGTAACCCCAACTACCACATATTGACAAGTAATGTTAACCAGCATGGAAGTAGGCTAGAAAAAAGCTAGGAACTTTCAAACTCAAATTTGACATTAACTAGTGAATAAATTTATCGTTTACCTGACTTATATCGAAAGACGTAGACTACCCGGTTGGCTTACACATGATTCTCATAATTAGTCGTTGGCGACGTTCAGTGACATAACCCAAAATTTGTTACAAAGGTGAAAATCTATTTACTTTCTATTTTACTAATAGATCATAAATTTAGAAAATATATCCGCAAATTAATTTTTTCTTTTCAGAATCACACTTTATCCAGTAGCTTTAGCGATCAATCTAAAATTATTGTTCCAGACTTAAACACTTACATCTGAGCAACTAAGTAGGACTTATAATTCTCAAACGAGATCTAAAAAGCGTCATATTGTACTATGCCTTTTACAGATACAGGAACATCGAAACATTGCTAAACACCAATCAAAGTTTATTTTACCCTTATTTTTTGTCATAAAAGCACTGATCTTAACCAGTATCCACGCTTTAAACATCAAACAACTGCTCATACACAGAATTATTCATGTTGATTCACACCTAAGAATGAATGCACATTGAAATTTCCACAAACATATTTTGAACTGTGCAATGTAAGTATGATACTCGTCGTAAACGAACTAAATAGGATTTGTGCAGGTTCGGCAGTATGGTATAGCAAAATAATTTTTGATTGATTAATTGGAAAGTATTTCTCAGAATAATATTACACCTTCCGAACTTCCCTGTTTTCTTTTTCCTTACGTGATATTTTTTAACAAGTACTCGCTTTGCTGATGTGGTGCGACAACTTGAACTGATTCAGATATGTTTTCTATCACGATGATGATCCTATAATCAGATTCAACACCGAAATCGCACCAACCTAAGTGCTAGGGAAGAATACTGAAATCTGAAAATCCTGTCACTACTTTTCAGTAACTAGAGGTAGCTGTAAATACTTAATGTAAAGCATTTTAGTTAGGTGGCTATTATCATATAAAAAGGTTTCCAAGCCGTTTTCTTCTAGAAAACCTTGCAGTAGATTTACATAAACCCGAACAGTAGTTGCATTAATAAGCTCAGGAACTCCTAAGTTGCAACACTTATGATGCTTGAGTACAAACTGAAGAGACACTATTTGAGTGATATGACAATGACGTGCACGAAATTTGATCCACTTCAAGATATTTTCGAATTTTCTATAATCTAGTTTATGTAGCACAAACTAATATTTAAGATCTGAAAGTTAAGACTGGTATAATGTCGGTCGGTCGGCAACAACGTAGAATTTGACACGTTCGTACATCAATTCATGTAGCCAGACCACATAAGCACAAAGAGATGGAACTGCCGACTCAAATCCCATAATACTAGAGGTTGTAACAGTATTAGCTTTAATCGAAAAGAGTGAGAACCAAAGACATGATTCCAGAGGCATAACTCAGTGAAATAAATGCAGAAAGAAAACATATCATGGGGAATTCAGATCAGAATTCGAAAGGAGCCAAAGAATGGATGTGTTCACGCCATTACAAACGATGTTAAGCCATGTAATTCAAAGTCGCCAACCACTGGTTACGATTGCCTCGTGAGCCGCAACCAGGTAGTCTACGCTTGCTAACATGGCTGAGTCCAATTATCAACGGCGAGTTCCCCTATCTTTACGAGTCCTTACTGTCCCGTCTAGTCGGACTGAGCATAAGCAACTGTCTACCGAGATCCAATCTGAGAGAGCTAGTTCTGCCCTATGACTTAAACTATACCAACACCAGCGAGGAGACGGGGAGCAGCAGCAGGGCTTCCAGAAGCACGAAGCGTAAACCTTGTTGTGTCTCTATCTGCACTAGGTGATGATTTTACTCGGATCTTGTATGCGCGTTTTGGAGACGCAACATACATCGATCGCCCGGGATCCCAGAGTTCCAGCTTACGAAGCCTGATGCCCTATTTGGCATAGGGTCTGTACATTAAAAGCTCTTATATGTAACTTAGTACAGGGTTCCAAGAGACCAGGAATGTGATAAACGATCGAAAGAAGGGTTGGTCGGGGAGATAAGAAAGTTATTAAGTGTAGAAAGGATTTGATTGTGACCAATTTGGTCTCGTGTGCTTTTATGGGTATGAGGGCGAACATTACTGCCGACACCGTGGTTTAACTTACTGGCAGATATCACTGCCACTGAGCAATATTTTGGGAACACCAGTAACAGAATGCTTAAAACCAAAACATTATTCTTCGCTTGAAAAACAAGTATTTCTCTGACAATTGCAGTCTGAACTTGCAACGATTTAAATCGGGAGATCTCGAGTGCTGTTGGAAGGGTGGTCTTAATTAGTTTCGCGACCTTGTCGAGAATTTGCTAGAGAGTGGTCTGTTGTGATAAGGTTTTAAAGTAGCCTTATGAGATGGAGAACTTATTAACACAGAAATGATCTACGAAAAAATAAGACAACGAACCTAACATAACAAGCTACGATTATGAACCAAGTGGGTCACCTGTTCTAACCAAGGATATGCATTTAAGCGAGTTCCGTGAAAGCATTTTTGTTGTATCTTCACTAATCTAAAACGGAAAAACGTTACGAGGCTCATTACTGTTTCTGATTTATGAAGAATCATCATCTAAATCCATATTTTGTAGGATTTGTAGGGTTTTCTACCACCTCTAGTCTGACGGTATTTAGCTTAAGAACTTCAGAAGTTCATGTCTGAGAAGTATGATAGTGATTTCTGCCTCTTGATAGGATCGTGACAAGACTTTCGTGGTATTGCGGGTAAATGTGCCCAAAAATAACTTCAGGTAACACAAACCCTACTTACTTACCCTGCTTCTGACCTACAGGTTTGACGTTTGATGAAATGCTATTTCGTGGTTGGTCGAGTTGGGACTTGCTTGGAGGCTTGCCGCTGCCAATAATTTTTTCACCTCCTCTAGCCGCTAAAGCATCATAAGGATGACCATCATAATTTACGTCGAAAAAGCGTTTGAACCATTGCACAAACTCAAAATTATCTTGGAACTTTCCTTTAACTAACTTTTCGATTGGGACTTCCTAAGGCAAAATAATGAAAAGGGTTTGGCTCTACTTTATCTACTCCATGCTTCTTGAAAAGAGCTTGCAAAACTTTGAAGTTATTAATGTACTCGTGCTCCAACTTTGTGTTAAACTTGACCTTTTTAAACGATAACGTGCCTAAGAAGAAGGTTATATCTCTGAAGTTTCTACCTGGGAAGAGCATATCCACCAGTTGACAGTAAGCCGCTCCGGTACACAACTCCTCTACTTTGCTGTAGCAGCTGTCCAGACAGTGGTTAACCCATTGAAGTATCTCGTTTCTACTTAAATTGTCAGTCATTTGACTGGTGCTGTGAACATTGACAGCCTGCGGGATGCCCGCCATAATTTGCGGAAATCTTACGACCTCGAGAATCTAATTCACAATGACCGCTTGGATTAACCAGCAGTACCCCACATCGTTACACAAACAAGGATATGTTTATGACCGAAGTGCCATCAAGATATGCTTCAGGTAAACTTTTTGAGAAACAAAATAAATTTAGGCTTATCAGGTAAAGGTTCTGAGCATTACCATGTGGATAGTCGTCGGACAGAACCAAGTCCTGAATTGTTTGAAGGGCTGGTGAAATGTCCTTGATTAGTAACTTAAGCATTCATTAGGATGATCCATTATTTTGTTGAAGCGTTTAATGGTGGATGCTGAACGATTTGCTGAATATCTCTAGGGTCATAGATAACGAACATGAATTGATTAATTGAATACCGTTAATCAGCGAATCACTTACTGAGCCTATGTTCTGCACTTCTCTTATCTGTTCTCACTAACGCTCACGTTTACACCCGTAAAATTCTCCTTTTATCATTACGGTCATCAAAGAGGTTGCGTTATCTGATTAACATAGTAGGGTAAACCACATTGGGTGTTGTTAAGTGTGACTGACGTGAGTTATTTCACACCATCTTCACCCAACTTTAGTAGTCTTACCATCCGCGTGGGTGATCTGAAGGTTTTATGTCAGTCTTTAAAAGTAAGAATAAGAAACAAAGTGACTCTCTGATTCTCGCAAACGCACCACCAGATGGCACCGTAATTGCGTGTCCACTGTTCCAAACAAGAAGCGAAATTCGGGAAGTGGATTATTTGACACCGCTTTTTGAAATTTTTGAGAACTTCCTCTCACAGTTTAAAACATTGAAAACCATACGCCGAAACTAGTAGGTGCAGGATCACATCTTAAGATTCTGACCGTAGCTGCCACCTCGACAGTGATCGGGCTTGTTTATCAAGATTACGCGACCCAGCTATGTGGACTGTAATATATGTTCCTGTAGGTTTGACCATACCAGACAGGTTGACTGGACAGTGTTAAGACTGGGCATCAACTCAAGGTATGAGGGTGAAGTCGTACTGCTGACTGTCGAGGGATGTGAGAGCACTAAGGTGTTTTTCACGGACGGCCAGCATCAGCAGCGATGTTGCCTTATCACAATGAAGGAAGGGGTTAAAAAGGGTTGACACTAAATGTGTCACACCTCACCTTACCATTTAAAAAGTGGAGCTAACTCGTTAAAATCTTTGCACATAACTGCCGTTTGTGACCGGCCTCAAGGATTTGTCCCTTGGGCTCTGCGGTCACGCTCCCAAGTCGCCCACACCTACGGTAGTTCAGTTTTTTTAACAGCTTCCTCAATAAGAACCTTTCCATGATGTGGGCAACCGGGAAGTGACATCTGCCCTCATACCCGTAAAAGTGAAAGAGACAGAATTGGTCACAATCAAATCCTGACTACACCTCCTTGTATCTCTCTTATCTCCACGATCACCCCTTCTTTATTCCTTTGTCACCTCACACCTCTGAAACAAACGTTTTGAGTTCACGAAACGTTATTCCTGGTCTACTGAAACCCCGTTCTAAACTACATGATGGGCCTTTCAATGTTCGAACCTTGTGTCAAATAGGTAAACAGGCTTCCTGAGCAAGGACCCTGGAATCTCATGCTGTCGATGTGTGTTGCGTCGCCGAAACGCGCTTACAGGGTCCGAGTAGCATCATTCACTTGACCTCACCATGTCCAAACGAAGAACCTGCTCGATTTACTCTTCGTGTATCTGGAAGCCCTGCTGATGCTTCTCGGGGCCTCGCTGGTGTTGATATAGTATTGATTCATAGGGCAGAACTAGCTCTCTCAGATTGGATCCCAACAGACAGTTGCTTATGCGCAGTCCGACTAGACGGAACAGTAAGGACTCTGAAAGATATGGATACTTGCAGTTACCGCTTCGTCATTTCTAGCTACAGTCCCAATGATCGCTGTCCAGATGAGATAAACGGCGAATTTTCGAAAACCTTTCGGACCCCCTTTAAAATGTTAGGTGCTTCAATACGGCAATAATGGCTATCGACTTTAATGCTTAAGTATGTGGACTAAGAGAAAAGAAAAGACATCTGGATGGATTTTGCGGTGTCACGGTTGATCGAACAAACCATGGAGACCACCTGCTTCAGTTGTGCTTAGATGATCACCCATTTGTAGCAAACACTAACTTTAAGCATAAGGAATAGCATCTTTTGACTTGGAGACCCCCGAAGCTGACCCAACAATGAACCCAACTAGATCACACCGCTTTAAGCCATCGGTGTAGAAGCTCCACAGAAGACTGCCGCATAGTCGGTAGCACATGTTTAGATTCAGATCATGCTGTTGTAAGTGTTTCATCAGACGTAGGGAAGACACGGCAATGAAACCATTTTGAACTTTACTTAATGATGTTAAAGACAGGAGAATATTTAAAGAGCAACTAGAAGAACTGTTAGGCGGCGAGGTTAGTGATTCCTAAACGGAGGCGGCTTGGATCGATATCCAGAAAGCCTTGAAAGCAGTAGTGATATCCGTCAGTAAGTTAAACCAAAAGATTAGTTACAGTTAATGGATTTCACTGGCATAAACTGAGCTGATTAATACTTGGAAACTCACCTCGTTTGACTCTGAACGCGATCAGGAGCAGAAGCATCCTAGAAAAGGTCAGATCAAAAGTAGATGCCATTGTACTGCCTCCACATAAACTTGAGTTCGCTCATATTTAATTTGATTAAGCCTTTCGATTAATTTATTTAACCAAGCCATTTGTATAGCAACAACTTGTATGTACCATTGGTATTTTTTATTATCTGCTTTGTATGAGCTTATACGACTGAGCATTGATTACGCCTACGTGCTTACTCATCCTTTTCGCTTTAATGTTAATCTCTTAATTTCCCCATGAACTCACATGATTTGTATCGCTTGCATTTGACCTTGTCAATCATTCGTCGCTTTTATTCATGTGTGTGCATACCTATTTCGCTTGTCATATGTCTGTCTTATTCTTATCTGACTATATATTCTTAGTCATACTCTATCTCTTTGAGTTGGCTCTTAGCCTTCTCCTATTCGCTTCGCCCATTCGCTCGCATTGTAATTAGAAGAGTTGGCTCTTAGCCTTCTCCAATTCGCTTCTCCGCTTCGCTTTGTGGTGTGCCTCGAATAAACGTATTCATCAATACGAGTTCATCTTCTGATTTATAAACGGAGCTTAAGAACACGCAGTTATCGGCACACTACATAATGGTGAGCCCAACGTCAACAAAATTGGCCACCATACTTAATGGTGAGCCCAACGTCAACAAAATTGGCCACCATACATAATGGTGAGCCCGCCGTTGAATCTAACGTACTCATCACAAAGCTGCCCGACGTTCTCAGGATGTTTCCTGATGCTGACGAAAAATCGAACGCTTCCAACTAATTGGTAATTTCGACGTAGAATCGAACGCAATCATTCTTCCGTGCATTCGCTCGCCAGTGCACTACAAAATGGTTATCCCGACGTCAGCAAAATCGGCCACCGTACAAAATGGTGAACCCGTCGTTCATTCATATCACTCCCTATTTGCTTCGCTCGATTCATTCGTCCATACGTCTTCACAGAAGATCAGTAAACTCTCACTACATAATTCGACGATTCCGATGACAAATCGAATATAACCAACCAGTTGGTAATTTCGAGGACAAATCGAACATAACCACTAACTGGAAATCCCGATGCCATGCAGCGACAAAGCAGCTCTCGTACTTAATACATTATCTGAACGAATCAAGCATTATCTTATAGTCATTTTGATTATGTACCAACTCGTCGCATTAATCTATTTCTCGAAATATCGCTATCATTATCGTATTAATGTGAAAGAAACATTATTATGATTAATCATGATATTATGACAATAATGGAATTAACTTAATGGCTAATCGAATCGCATTGTAGAATCCTTTTTGAATGTTTTGTTTTTTGAAAAATCCCTCCATGTTTACATATTTTTGTTATGACATGACGGACTTTTTCTGTTGACATTTTTGGTATTTTATTTGATTCCAATTTGAGATTTTATCATTGTATATTGTTATTATTTCTATATTTTGTACTTATATTGAAGTTTTTGTGTTTGCTTCTGATCTGTATATATGTTGTTTAAATTTGATCTTTAATATGGCTACAGCCATATTTGGATTGATACAGTAGCCGCTGGACTTAACGTCACTTATCTATCGTTGTTTCTGATACTCTTCGGAGTAATTGTATCCTGGAAGGAGCATTAATTCCAGGTAATGCTTTGTATTTCCATGTCTTTATTAAATAAGACCGCTTTCTCCTAGAATTTTTGTCCTTTTTTGATTTGTTTGGACCTGGGATTGGGAGAAACGAGTACAGGAGTGCACCTATTGGAACCCATTGGAACTGCCACCGTAGAAATCCATTTACACGCATTTCGAATATTGTATTCACGGCAGGACATTTGCAACTCACGGAATTATTTTACTTCTTTCGATACCACGAACGACGTTCATGATTAAGGTGAGTTCGTTCCATTTAATTTTTCGTATCGCATTATTATGTTTCGAATCGCTTATCAAAGCAATGGCTCAACGACAATTATCGTCCATTAATATTTCCGTTGCTATACGATTATCGCATTGGAGATATCTTCTATGTACTCATTAGCTGCTCGCACTCGAAAATCTTGCAGCCTGCTAAGTAAATTGGTGGTATGATCTTACGCACATGCACACGAAGCAGCAGTTCAAGCAGTCGAGCGAACCTCCTGCACGCTGATATTAGCATGTTTTTCGACTACCCCAACGCTGGCAACGGTTTGCAACGCTATCATACACATAAGTTTGGAGTCATATACTCCATGGTAGTAACTTATGTTCTCGATATGCATCTAATGTTTATGCATCGCATTGGTACGCAGCTTTATTCTCCAAATTTTTCCACGATAATCTCGGTCGCAATTTCTTCGCCTATCTGCAGCCACTCAATTTAACGATAAGCCTTAACGTGATGTCTATGCGATTATCGAATTCTGTCCTAACTGTCATGCCTAAACGATATTAAATATTTTGCAGCATTTGTATTAAATTTTCGTATCGTACAACTGCTCCTAATGTATTCTATTCGAAATCGATTATTTTTGCTAATAACCGCTTACCACATATTTTTGATCTGTTACTATGCGAACTTACGAACGTACTCGGACAAGGTAACTTTAATTTTCGTACCTTTTGATGCATTCCGACTATTTTGAT